TCGGGAAGTAGTCAGATATTATCTCACCGGCTTGAGCCCAGCTCTACGCTCGGAAGTTAAATTGTTGATGAGGGCCATACCCACAGAACTTTTGGGGTCGTATATACGAGAACAATCAGCGTATATACGGGCTAATCCGAACGGCACTTATGTTGCACCGATCAGAGACGAGGCAGATCAGTATGAATGGACGGATGTGATGGACGCGGCCACTAGGGTTATGAAGGAGGAAAGTCTAAATGTGTTTGGTTTAGACGCCTTTCCTACCGGAGAGCTCAAGAAGGGATCCAGTGTAGTTTTGTTGCAGGACAGTCGCAGCGAACAACCATCCGACGTAAAAGCACTAGAGGCGAAAATCGCGAAGTTGGAAGCCGATACTGTTAGGGCAGCGAAAAAGGAAGCCGAGGAGAAAGCTGCTTACCGCAAGGAAATCAGTGATCAACTAGGCAACGCTTTCGCTACTCACCTAGACAAGTTCACATCCGACCAGCACAAGGAGTTGCAACAGATTAAATTAGCAGTGGAAGGCAGCAGGGCAGACACTTCTGTCCGGCAGTCATCTAGTACTGGTTATTCTGCTCCGAGTTTTGTAAGGAATAGAACGCCGAACGGCATGTCTTGTTTCTACTGTTATGAACCGGGCCACTTTATTTTGGAATGTCTGCACCTTAAGGAAGACATCAGTAAAGGCCGGGTCAAAATGGATAGTAATAACAGAACGAGGCTCTACGATGGAAAGAGCATTCCCAGAGAACCCCCTCACAAAGCACCTAGGGATAAGGTTAGGGAATACTTCCAGAATCGCGCACTAGTAGCTCAGAATTACGACGAGATCATGGACCAATTCTTTGGCACAGACGAGGAAGTGGCTCCCATACCACAGATCTGGGAAAGGCAACCGTCTAGTCGTGAGGCTCCGGCATCGGATACCCTCAATCAAGTGCTTGCAGCAATTCGCAACCTTGAACGACCATACAAAACCAGATCTACGGGACCTGCTGAGTCTAGACCGGATTTTTAAGTGCTCCGAGGAAGGGGGCGCCCGGGAAGGGGAAGTCTCCGGAGGAAAGCACCTCGAACAACGGTCAGCAGAGATCACCAGCCAGACATCGCCAAGTGGAAGTAGTAATCGAGTCAGGTGGGACTAAAACCACCGAACAACAAAAGGCACCAGTGGTAGAGGAGAGCCCACCAGTGCGAAAAGAGGCGTCTAGACGAGTGACCATAGAGGATATTTCAAGCCTGCAACAATATTCTTCCAGAACCAAGGAAATAAATTTGTGTGACGTGATGGTCGGGGCGTTGCTCGATACACCTAGATATGCTGAAGTAAAGTTGTCCCAAGATTTGGGCAGCAAGCTAATTATCAACAGCAAGAAATCTTCATCCGAGATTAAACTGCCAGGAATCGCGAGCTCCTCCTGAATCCGACGTAACTCTGTAACGTGAACCGCGATATCCATCGCGTCATTGGCATTTGTGCAGTACCAACGGCGACGTAGCGACAAAACTCCCAATTTTCCTCCCTTCTCTTTGACCTGCTTCAGCTGCTTCCACATCTCGGCTGCAGTCTTGGCACCCGCGATATGAACCATCTGCGAGTCACTCAAGGTGAGCTCGATCTGTGTCTGCGCCTTTCCGTCTAACTCCTCCCATTGCTCCTTCGACTTGTTCTCATCCGTTGTTGGTTTGTCCGGGTCGGCGGCAACTGGTTTCGGTGTGGTGCCCTCGACAATCTTCAAGAGGGTGCGCTCACGAAATATGGCAGTAACACAGTGCTTCCACGGAACCCAATTCGTCTCATTCAATTGCTCTATCCGGAACAATGAAGATGGAGTGGTCTCAGCGGGGTTGGTGGTAGTTGACATAGTAGTGGGTTATGGAGGGGTGGGGGTTTGAGTTGGGGGTAGATCAGTTAAGGCTGAGGCCCATAACCTATGGTAAAATGGAGGGGAAAAACTGTATATTCAACGTGAATACAGGCCAGTGTTTATACCTCTCCTGAGTACAATGGATACTTGAACAACAGATACCAAGATAATGCGGAGTTCAAACTCCTTGATACGTAATACAATGGGTGGCATGTCAAACGCGTAGCTGCGACGCATCCCAGCGCATTTCCAGGAGTCCAGCTCCATGGTAACGTGTCGACACGTCATACAAACACGTCTTGCATGTTTCAACCTACATGGTGTGAGCTATCACTTTGTGATTAGCTCTAGACGCCCTGCCACGCAGAACAAAAGTGCCTTTCAGAACAACGGCTTGAAGCATGGTCACTGGCGCACTTGCACATTGGAAATCACTGGTGCACTTTTGGAAGTTAGCGGCTAAATCACTGGTGCACTTTGGAAGTTAACGGCGCACTCATTGACACTTGCATTCGAAAACACTGGCGCACTTCTGGAAGTTAAAGGCGCACTCGAAGATTACAAGGGGCACCCGCATTCAAAACCACTGGCGCACTTACAGATGGTTCAGAAAATAAAGGCACGCTTTTCGCAAAAAGAGGTAGCTTCGTTCCTTGAACGAAGCTACACTTTAAAGGCCAGACCCCGAGTTGAACGAGGGTAGTGGATCAAATACTGCTAATTGAACATCCGTGCACTAACCGTCTGGCCGCAATGACTTAAAATGAATCACGCAGAACTATCAAACTGTAAAAGAGCGCTGCGCACTCCGAAGATGGAAAGGCGCCGCGACAAGAAAAGAGCGTCATATTAAATCAACGACCTTTTGCACATTTATTACACACGCCGGGTCGTACTGGCGACGAAGACTACCAGGAAAAGCGTACGAGTTAAAAAGACGCTGAGCTAGGAAAAAAGAAGTGGTTAAATTTTCCAAGGCCAGACCCCGAGTTGAACGAGGGTAGCAGATTAAATATTGCCCTTGAACCCATCAAGTATCTGCGCACTAACCGCTGTGCTATCTGACCGTGATAGCTAGGGACTGGGGAACAACGACGACGTATACGAGGAAGGACACGCTGTTTGAAGAAAGGCGCGGTGTGAGCTGTCACTTTGTGATGCGCTCCGAACACAGCCAAACAATATTTGCCTTTTACAACACCAGAACCACAACTTTCATGCCAGTGAGAGGCCGGAAATTTGTTTGAACCTTGGCCCTAGAGTCACTGTGTTCCACCCCCATGTAGACACAGGGGGGTCTACCTTCACCTACGTGCAACTAACACCGTAGCCGAATGTAGACCAACATGGACGCAGGTAGATACAGGTAGACACATGTAGACGTAGAGAGGTAAAATTTAGCAGAACGAACCTTGACTCATTTGTTTGACCTCCACTTGCTAAGTGTCCTCTGCCGTCTTCGGCAAGTCTTCGGTGGCCTTCGGCAATGTGTGGTACTGCCGGCGTTGACCGATCCGCACGGACCGCACCCGTCCGATCAACATCAGACATCGCTTGACGTTGCACCGAAGACGAAAATAAATTGGGTTTCTGGTTGCTTTCTGGGGCAATTTGAAGGTGCTTACGACTCACACAGAGAAGGGTTCGCAGGTAATAAGGGGAGCATAAAGTTATGGCGAGAGACCGGCTCCAAGAGCCAGCGGGCCCTGTGTCTACGGCGGTAAGCGGACGTAGACGGACGTAGCCGAACGTAGCGGAGGTGCGTCCAAGTGACGTACAATAACATACACAAAGGTACACGCAGGGTGCGTCTACCCCCTCGTCTACCCCCGTAGACACACGTACACCAACGTACAATAATGTAGACGAAGGTTCGTCTACATAGGGGCGGAACACAGTGAGTGGGGTTAATCACCTTTCGATGGCTGCTAGCTGGACCTACGTGAGCCTGCAAATGGCTAGGGTAAGCGTAAGATAAGGAAAGAGACGAACGAGATTCTGAGACTCGGAGATAACGGGATCACGTATTCGTGTAATGTTACGTCCGAGGTCCGTGCGTGGCGAAAGTTCTCCTGTCTGCCGCACACCACTCGAAAATCTCGGTCTCAAGCTAGACTCAAAGTCTTGAAATTTTTGGCCCCACCCGCCATCCCTTCATACATTTCTTAGGCGCTCACGCTTGGTATGCTTGGTCTCGTCTTGAGTTTCACTCAGACCACCGAATGTGTACTTGGTGTACTGATATTGACGGTGGCCATCCAGAACGGCACTTGCTTTCAAGTGACTTCCGAGCACCTTGTGCCTCGGCCCTCTTCTGGCCCAGCCGCGAAGCGGCCCGTCAATTTCATTGACAAAACACTCAGATCATTTATTAGATCTGTTGAAACAAATATCGAGACGCGTATACATGCCGTCGAGAGTTGAAGAACCGAGTCATACAAGACTCAAGTTCTTCCATTCATCTAGCACGCAAGAAAATGTGTTAACTTGCCTTATCGGTATTGATATGATGCCTCAGCGGTTGGATGTCATCTACTGGTGAGCCACAGTAAGCCTATTTTTGCTGTGGCTAGCTTCTAGCATCTGTTCTGCAAGTACCTCTGAGGTGGACCATGTGAGTCCATCTGGTTTAAGCCATTTCAACATATGCTGCCGATCAAGGCCATCACGGCCGGCTATTCGGCTTGCACAGCCACCCACCAACAGAAAAGTTCTGATTCTCACTTTGCTTGAAACTCGGGCATCCAATCAATTGAACTGTACAGAAAAGAAAAGAAGGCTTGGAACCAAAAAAAAAAAGTGACTTGAGAAGAAAAAAAAGACAAAACATAAAAAGTCCCGAAAAGTGGGGAAAAAAGTCTGGAATAATAAATGTGCAAAGTGACCGCGATACAGGTTGTGGTACACAACCGTTTGAATTTTTTTCTTGCCTTCAATTCTTGTGTTCGAATTTCGAGTCCGTCGACATCTCTTCTCTTCTTGGTTGAACAGTAACTCTCAAGTTGAAGTGCCCCAAGCACGACCTCACTGCGATCGACCTTCAAGTACTTAATTTCAACCTGTGTTCAACCTGTTTCACACTGAAACTCCTACGTATTCTCTAGAACAACAAGGCTCAAAGGAATCACTGACCTGATAGTGCAGCTGGTAACATGCCTACCATTCTTGAAGGCACAAGAACACTTGCGTGGGAGTCCCTTGTTCGATTCGAGGTTGGGTCGTGCGCAGTTTGACTTTCTTTTGGTGTCCTTTTCTTTTCTTTTCTTTTTTGTTTTGTTTTATTCGACTTGCTTTGTGTTTAATTATGATGGCAGCCCTTCAATTACAGCTGTTTTCAAAAAAGTAGACGGGTGTGATGAAGTGGGGCTGTTCGTTTCGTGCTTACCATTGTTGACTGATTGATGCACCAAAACGACGTCATCACGGTCCCTCTGCTCTCCTCAGCTCGTAAATTCCCCTGTGGTTTGGATACAATGCTGGGTGAACCAAGGGTACGTATTCCCCATCTCATTCCCGTCCAAAGGCATTATGGTTGAGATGAGTTGAGGCGGTTTCGGAAGATCGGACTCGACAACCGAGGATCAATGAGTCAACAAAGGTAAGCACAAAATGAATAGCTCCACTTTATCAAACCCGTCTACTTTTTTGAAAACAGCTGTAAACCCTCCCTGAATCCTACTTGTACATACGGGCATCAGTTGGGCACGACTCGGAGGTGTATGAGTTGAGTTGTTTTGTTTTGTATTGGTTCAAACCTTCCGACAACTATCCCATGTGTTCATACTAGTGATATAACAAGGGCTGAGGAAGTAATGACCCAATGGTGTAGTTGGTAACACGCCTGCCGTTCTTAGCAATATTGTCCTAAGAGTAAGCGGGAGTCCCTCGTTCGAATCGGGGTCGGGTCATGTGTCTCTCTTTTGTTTCCTTTCCTTCCTGTTTTTGTTTATTCGAGTTTCGAGCTTGTCGACATCTCTTCAAGTTCTTTGGTTGAACTCAAGTGCCTCAAGCACGCCCTCACTGTGATCGATCTTCGTAAGTTCAACCTGATTTATGATTTACACCGAAAACTCATTCCCGGTTAATTCGGGTACTCCTTACAGGCATGAGAAGGGAAACAAGGATTAATGACCCAATGGTGTAGCTGGTAACACGCCTGCCATTCTTGAAAGTGCAAGAAGGTTTACGCAGGAGTCCCTCGTTCGATTCGAGGTTGGGTCATGATGTTAAGGAAGTCGATCTTTTTTTCCCTTTCTTCTTACTTCTTCATTTGTTTCGTTGGTTTTGGAAGAGATAGGTGTCCGAGTCGGTGGTTGAAGCGTAACTTGTACCTGTACTAGGACTTTATGCTTACGAAGGTCGAGTTGCCGTTCAGTTTACGTTCACGCTCAATTGTTCGGTCTCTTGCGTTCACTCTACCCAACTCACGCTGGTCAAGATTCGACGAGGAGGACTTGGACGTGGGTTCATTCATTCATTCCGTGTACGGTACAGATGGAATCCGGACGGCGGGAGCCCGCGACCGTGCGTACCCACTACTCACTCACCCACCAGTACTTTTCCGCGTCTCGACGGCGAGCACAAAGTCGACGACATCGCAGCAGGGGACCTGGATGCCATTCAGTGGACCGAATTTAATTGTGCGAAGGAAAGGACGTTCAAGATATTCGATAGCAGTCTACATAGATTCCATTTACAGAAGGTAGCGGCGTTCAGCCTTTCTTGAAGCCTACAAATAAATTGGTTAGCATAAAAGGAAGAAGGAAGAAGGAAGAGACGCGACGCACCCAACCGCCTCCGCTCATAAAAGAGATCGGTGCGACTTGCGCCGAGGTTGACGATCTTGGGGCAGCCGTCGCGGTCTTTTTCGAGGCGGGTGCATTCGGCGCAGTAGTAGGCGTCGGAGATACCTGGGTCGGGAAGGCGGGTTAGTTCGGTGTATGGAAAGATAGGCGGTGGGGAGGGATGAAGGAGAGAGGTGGGGCAAGTGAGTAAGCAGTACGGATAAATAGACTCAGCGCCGGTGCGAGTCAGCATAATCAGTAAGCGGGAAGGGTGGATGAAAGCGGGAAGGCTCCGACGGAAGGATGTAAGCCGAGATGTACGTGGACAATACACTCGAGCATGCCGGAGGGTGTACGGAAGAACGCAAGGGGATGCACGCGCAACGGCATCGCAGGGTCGCGTCGGCTGGGCACAGAACCACCAGAAAGGTGCCGGAAGGAGCCAAGCAAGGAAGGAACGAGACGCACCAGGGGACCCACAGATGATGCACCTCCCTCCGTAGGTGCCGAAATTGCACTCGTCGCATATGCGCACGAGGGTCTCGGGGCGGACGTACGAGTCACATACTGGGCTGCGGGCGTGTGAGTGCCAAGATGAAAGAAAGAAAGACGGATAGACCGCGACGCACCACTTGCCGTCGCATTTTTCGCAGAGACGGCCGATAGCTAGCGAGACGAGACGAGATGGGGGCGCGGTTAGTCATCGGGGAAAGAAGACGCGAGGAGGACGCACCGATTCCAGGCTGGCGCCTGCACATTATGAGATCTACGCGTACGACGGTGAATAGGTTGAATAGAGGATTGCATAGGGACTGACCGGGATGGTGCTTGGACATGGTGGTCGGGGAAAGGGTTGATCTGATTTGATGCGCTGCACGTGGTTTCTGATTTGTGCTTCTCTTTCTCAGGCCTGTGCTCGCTTTTTTGACCCCGTCGTCCTCTGCTTCTTCCGCCCGTGTGTCTGCTGGGGTCAATGGCTCTGCGTGCGCCAAAGTTTTGAGAAGTACCACAAAAAAATCGACACCTCCCTGGAGCCCCTCATTCGCTCCTTAAAAACACCTGCATCCCCTAGCGAGCCATGGCAGAGGACAACGCCGAGTCTCAGGGTCCCCCCACCATTACCACGCCCATGGAGACCCACACCGTCGATCTCGGCCTCACCGACTACGCCTGTCCCGACCCCCTCGAGAAGGTCTGTCTCTCTGTTCCTCCCTCGTCTCTGCACTCTCTCTCTCCTCCCTAACGCTGCGACACTACTGTTACAGATCTTCCAACAAGTCGAAGCCCAAAACGAGCGGCGCGCCCAGCAGGAGGAGGTCCTCGACACCCTCGCCAGCACCCTCCTCCCCCGCGTCGAGTCCTCCGACAACCTCAAAAAATCGCGCAGGAGGGGCAGCATCTCTATCACGCGCTTTGGCCAGGTGCGTCTCGGCCCCCTGCTTTTGAATTCTAAAGTGAATTTAATTTAATTTAAATTTCGCGTACAGCTGTCGCCCTCGGACGACGGCACGGCCAGCGGCGGCCCAATGACCCCCGCCCTCTCCGACATCGCCTCAAAGTCCCCCTTCTTCCAGGCCCAGCTCAAGGTATGCATGCCATGCATCCGTCCTTGTGCTTTGTACTCTGCTGTTCTATCGTGCTTTCCATGCGTTCCGTCCGTCCTTCCGAGCATGCATTCGTTCACGCGCTTCTTTTGGATCTTTCGAAGCGGCGGCGCTGTTCTGCCCCCGTGAATTCTCATCTATCCATCCCTACCTACATTCTGATCCCCGCTTGGCTTTTGGCTTTTACTTTATTATGATTCGACTCGGGGCGGCGCGCGACCTGCAAGGATACTTGGCCTTGCCGCGTGCGACCGGCCCGAAGCGAACAAGCTAACGAACTCTCTTGGTGCCGGCGGCGGTCGCGGTCGCGGTCGCGGTCTGGTCGCCGAAGATGGCGCTAACTGGGCGGGCGTGCCCATGCCCACGCATCTCTATCTGCGGACGCTCCATAGTCCAAGGCGCTCGCGCTGTGCATCTATCAACTCGTCGCGGGAGTTGTGTTGGGAACGGGAACGGGAACCCGGTGTCGGTGTCGGTGTTGGGAACGCGGTCCTTGTGGCGTTTGTGGCGTTCGTTGCATGCGGGTGCGGGTGCGCATGGCGTCGTCGGGTGCAGACGGCGTGGGCGAACGGCGCGGGCGTCGTGGGTCTCTGGTTCAGCGCGTTTGCGTTTGCGTTTGCGTTTGTGGGCGGGGTAGGGCGCGCGCACACAAATTCGCGTTGTCGTGCGTCGTCGCGTCGGAGCTCTCGCGGCGTGCAGATGGGGAGTCTGGTTTGGCGTCGAGCGTTTTCCCTCCTTCCGCACAAGGTCGGGCTTTGTTGCGCTTTCTTCTTTGCTTTCTCTTCTTGGTTTTTTTTTCTGTGCTTTGCGCTTTCGTTTCGTTTTCTTGTTTCTGTGCCCCTTCCCTCATCGTTTATTTATTTCCTTTCCTTCGCGCGGTTTGAGAAACGGGGAATGGGAACAGAGCGCGCGCGTGGGTGATGGTGGTGCCGCCGCCCCGGTTCCCCTTTCTCGTCGCGACGCGTCTAGAGCGACGGTGTGTTTACGCATTGACGAGGTGGTGGGCGCCTTGCTGGTCCCCTCCAGGAGACAGACCGGACAGGCGCTGTCGTCCGACCCGCCACTCGCTGTTGGGAACGCGGTGTCGGTGTCGGGGTCCTTCCTTGTGCGGGTGCAGACGGCGTGGGCTTGGGTGCGAACGACGGGGGTATTGTGTGTCTGGCTCAGCGCGTTTGGGTCTGGCTCGCGCGTTTGCGTTTGCGGGCGGGACGCGCGTACACACATTTGCGTTGTCCTCGCGTCGTAGCGTCGGGCGCGCAGATGGGGAGTCTGGCGTCGAGCGTTTTCCGCCTTTCGTCTTTCGTCCTTGCGCACAAGGTCGCGCTTTTTCGCGCGTTCTTCTCTTTACTTTGATTTTTTTCTGCGCTTTGTGCTTTTTTCGTTTTCTTTTTCTTTTGGCGTCCCCATTTATTTATTTCCTTTCGTTTCTTTCGCGACGTGGTTTGAGAAACGGGGAACGGGAACGGGGCGATCTCCGGAGCGCGTGGGTGGTGGTGGTGCCGCCCACCACCGCCCGGTTCCCTTCCTCGTCGCGACGCGACGCGTCTAGAGCGACATTGTTTGCATTGACGAGGTGGCGGGTGTCCTTGCTGGTCTCCCTCGAGGAGGCGACCGGACAGACAGGCGCACCGAGTCGCTGTCATCCGACCCGCCATGTACTCGCTCGTCTCTTCTCATTCCTTCCTCCTTCCTTCCTTCCTTCCTTCTTTGCTTCCCCTCTCCAATTCCCTTCATCTACCCAATTTGGCGTCCCACTCACCCCCCTTTCTCCCTCCCTAGAACAACGCCAACTCCTCCACCACCTCCTTCGCCTCCGTGCCCTCCTCGCACCTGCACGCCGGCGACGGCGACGCAGACGCCGAGGACCTGCACCACGTCACGCACATGCACACCATCGCGCCGCGGCAGAGCCTCTCCCGCGCCGTCGGGGGGCTCTTCTCCTCCGTCGGGATGACGCGGAGGTTGAGTCGGGCAAGGTCGGCGGTGTTGCCTGTTGGGGGTGGGATGGGTGGGATGGGGATGGGCGGGGTTGGGGGGGAGGTGGTTATTGGGGTGGGGGTGGCGACGGTGGAGGTTGCGGTGGAGGAGGGGGATCAGGGTCAGGATGGGCTAGAAGGGGCGGAAGGAGGGGGAGGTGCAGGTGCAGGGCAGGGAGGAGGAGCGAAAGGGAGGGGACAGGGACAGGGACAGGGGAGGACGCAGACGACGACGGTGCACGCGCCGCTGCGGAGCCAGGCGTCCAAGGCGTCGCTGTCCGTCGACGAGAAGAGCGGGTGGGCGGCGCGGGCGAAGAAGTTTACGAAGAAGTTTCGGAGGAAGAGTCGGAGTATGAATCCGTTGGGGGGTGCGGCGGGGGAGGCGGCGGGGGTGCCGGTGTCGCCGTAGAATTTGGACAGTCGCTCGCTTCCCCTCCACCCACCATACATCACACCACGCTCGTTCCCCCCTCCGCTCGCTCAGGCCGTCTTCCCACTCCCACTTCCCCTTCCTACTTTCCGCTCGCTCGCTATATTCATCCTACTCTCCTTATTTCATCCGTATTTCATCCCTCCCTATCTCTTCCCTATTTCATCTCGTCTCGTCGTGCATACATCTCATCTCATCTCATCTCATCGCGTCCATACACTGTATTATAGCTTTACATACATTGGTTTCCCTCTCTGGTTTAAAGAAGTAGGAGTAGTGGTAGGAGTGGGAGGAGGGGGTAGTTATATCGTATACCGAATTCAGTGTTTTCTTAATGCTCTTGTCTTGTCTTGTCTTAACACTTTTTTCGTGGGTAGGACGGGAGGATGAGGCCTGGGATTGACTCGGAGAAAGGACTCATGAGGGG